AATGCGTTGCGTGAAGAACGCGAAATTGATGCGCCCTTTTATATTTCGAGACGCCGTCCGGGAGGCCGTTTCTACGAGAAGTATTAATCCGATCTTGATTATCGAGAAATCCGAACTGCACCGCACCTGCGATCATTTCTTCGACGAGAAATTCTATTAAGCGAAATGATAGTCATCGAGAAAAGTCGTCTTGCGTATGTACATGTGCGTGTATGTGCTTTTTCTTGATAATCGAGCGATACCAGACAGGCTCAAGTACTATTAGCGCGCTATAAATATACACGTTGACGTGTCCACCGTTAGATAATGCTCGGCAGACAAATCGCAGCTGTCAAACAAAGCTAATCTTTCAAGTGCAATTAATTGCACACTTTAGAAGTAATTTAACACGTTCGCTACTGGCGTCACATATATGTGATAGTAAACATTTTTAATCTATGTCCACGCTATCAAACTAAATCTACTTTACACAATTACGTAGGGAAAAAGTACGAGGTAGTCTGTGAGGAGAGTTCTCCAAACAGTACTGGACATTGATATTTTCTTTGATTAGAACTAATCGGCAAATCAGTAACCAAAATTATGTAATATGTCGTCATATAATCATGAATAATTTAATCAATTAATGAAAATTAATTATTAATCAGTGTATATAATCAATCACATCAAAGTTTGACTAATAATTAGTTTCATCAATAAAAGTTAATTACTAGTGATGTTACATATGACGATTAATTAATTTTGACTATCGATTGGTCTATTAAGTTAATCAAAACAAAGTTTCTCACTATACATTTTTCATGGATAAATATTAACTGAAATGTTTAATCTTTAAATATATAGTCCAAGAACAAAATGATTTAGTAGTGAGGACAGAGTAGAAAAATATATTTAGCAGAAATAATTAAATCTTTCATAATATAAAACAAAGTATTTGATTATCTTGACTAGAGACGCCTGGATTAAACAGTTTTGCCAAAGACACTAAATTTTTTCTCTAGTGTAGTGTAACAGTCCTGTTAATCAGCGATCGTTATCCGACATGTTAACGCGTGGTAAATCAACGTGGTGTCCTGTTAAACAACGAAACTGTTCGATGTTGTTTGCCGTGTTGTGAGAAAAACGTCAACAAGTAACATTCACGAGCGTTTTGCACGAGACTCGCGCAATCAAGTCGGCACGACTGTATTTGCGGGGCATCGTTCGCGTCAGCTTTCGTCTTGAGGTCGCGCGTCACCCCTGTTCGTTCAAGCTCCTCGTCTCTGCCCTCGAACGGTCCCAACGCGAAGACAACCTACCCCCGTGCGCGAGCGGTAGGTAAACGCACACGCATTGCGTACGACAGCTGTCAAATAAATGTTAAAAAAAAGCGCTAGCCGAGCGAAATTTCGAGTGGGACGAGTGGAACGGAGCAAGGGTGCCTGCGTGGCCACCCCTAGCGAGATACCCTTAGCCCGCGGGGCAAAAGGCTCTGCACAATTTTTCCAGAGTTCCGCTCTCCCTGCAACAGAACGGGCGGTCGATAAGTCAGCGCTTATACCGCCAACTTCGCGCGGTCGTCGGCCTTGTCTCAAAAACCGTTTGACGAATTTCCCCTACGACGCAGCCCCGCGAAAAAAGAGAAGGGGAAAAAACTTGCTCTCGCTCGCGATTCTCCGTGATTTTGTGGCTGGCTAAATTATCGCGTTGATCCGCGTTATTCGATCACGTGAACCGTTCGTACGCGAAATTTTTTACATTCCTATAATTCTTGCCTTTTTTTCGCGCGTCTCGCATATTCTCGTGAATTTGCTCCCCGAAAGGAGCGATGAGAGTGTCACGTAATAAAGTTCAACTTGCAAATTACATTGTAAATTACAACGGACACGATGCGAGCGCGCTGTATTACTCTCCTGCGGTGTTTTTGTCTCTCGCGGATAGATACGAAATATCAGACTCCATGACAGTGGCAGCGCGAACTTCTGATAGTCAGACCACATCAATCAAACCGTTCTCCTCCTCCTTCATCCCCGGCAGCCGAGGTTGGCGTGCAGCCAAATTTTCGAAATAAAAATGTCGGGGACGCTTCGTTACGCTTACGTCGGGGGCCGCCGCGTCGCCTTTCGCCGAATTTAACGAAGTAACGAAAAGTCCCTCGACGGTCCCGGAACGCCTCGTGGCGTTAGACGCACTAAGGAAGGAAGGGTGACGACGCGGCGCGCTCGCCGAGGGGCGAATTTTCGAGGGTGGTTTCGCGCGTCAATGGTTTATTAAGAAGCACTTGTTTAAAGGCAGCCCCCTTCCAGATCCGACAGCCAATTCGACCACGACGTTTGTGTCACTCGGATATATAAATGGATGGAACGGCCGAGGGAAGGGGAGGGAGGGCGATTGGCTCCGGGCTGCGGTGCGGAGGACGCGGTCGAATTCACCCTATGGCAATCCGTCGTGTCGTCGTAATTGAAGTTATTGCAATATTGTGTCCTGTCAGCCCCGCTGTCCTCGCCGTCGTTCTATTTCTGTCTCCCACGGCCCGTTTTTTCGCGTTCATTGCCTTGGACGCGGTGTCAAGTTTGCGGGATCGTATAACGCGTTGCGAATAACGTTAATCTTTCTGTCGCCGTGTACACTGACGCACCAAACGACGCACCAAACGACGTAAATTGTCTTCATTTGCGAGCCATCTCTCGGACGGTTCGTCCGAGGTTTGACAGCGTGTTCGTGGGAATGAGATAACTTTTACAGAAATCGCTTCCGATTGCTATCAGTCTTTAATTACCATAAGATAATTACAGATATATTAAAAGAAGAGTTTTGGGGGGTTGGGTGTTGGGTAACTGTAATTATATGACGAGATAATTATAGTTATTAAGATCATTTTTTAATTTTGTACTATTGCAATGTTATAATGTTAATCGATTAAATTAATTCCTTAGACTAAAATAATCAAATTAATAATAAAAACTAATTAATCATTATATATATATATATATATATATATATATATATATATATAATCACGAATAATTTAATTATTCTACTGTATAATCTAATTATTATTTATTTTAGTTTAAAAAAATTTAATTAATTAATGTTCAACACTATACTATAGTGAATGACAATAATCTTATATACATCTTGCTTGTTATATACAAACGGTTACTCCTTTTATGTTAGAACAGCCGAAATAAGATTAGCGTAAAAATGACTATAACTTTAAGAGATTTAAAAATGTTTGCAAATTAATCCAAAAGATTAATAATTTTTTCTCTTAAAATAGAATCTCTCACGTCTACCGATTATATCGCAACTCAATTTCGCGAATTGTGGCCGTAATTCGTTATTCGTCGTTCGTAGATTCGATCTCACTGATGCATTACAGGTCGAGGTCGCGATATCGCGTATCGTTGGCCGAAATAATCACCGATCGTGTCGAAAATTTTTCCCGCGCGCGTGCGTGAAAGAGAGAGAGAGTGTTTTCAGCGTAAGTACAGTGCCTAAGGCGAAGTTAACTTTATCCTCGCCTTAATCGCCTTTTCGATAGGTACGATCCCTTTGTTCAGACAATATCTCCGCGCGCGTTGCCCCCGCTAATGTATGCACCGAGCCTCCATTTCTCCCTCCGGATCCTCGCGATGACTCCGGCACTCCTAACCCCATAGCCACCACCCCATACGGGAAGCGGCGGAGACAAGGGGGAGAGACCTCGTACTCGTTCGCCTTTATTGAATTTTGGGACCGTTCCAGTTGGAGGAGAGAAGGATCGCGCGAGAGAAAGGAAAGAGAGAGAAAGAGAGAGAGAGAGAGAGAGAGAGGAAACGAGAGACGCCGCGTACACGCGCTAAGCGAGACGGAGAGGGAGAAAGGGCTCTGGATAGTCCGTGGGGTGCGAGCCAGAATTAATTCACATCCCGCTGCATTGCTTTTTACGATATAACTGCGGTTTGTTAGTCGTTATTCACGGTACGAATTCAATTTCATGTCCGGCACGGGATAGAAATAGAGAGGCGGCGACGGCGGCGGTGGCGGCTTCTATTTCCGACGCTCCGCGAGAAACTTGCGTTCGCCGAGCTCGACAATAAGCGTCAACGAGACTAAAGAGGGAGAGGGGAACCCGCGCAGAAGTACGGATATCGTTTCCTTGCTCTATTTAGAGTTCTTCCTAGGTTCGAACAAGAAGAAAAGTTAGAGTGAAAAATGGCTCCAAGTGAATGTCTCAAAACGGAAGCAGCAGACACTGATTGATGTATATGGATGTCCTGATTGTATGTGTATAGAATTTTATTTTTCAGAAAGTTTAATGTTTATTTTTTGCAGATCTATCTTGGAAAAATCCACGGACAGACCGCCTGGGAAAGCACGTGAGCAGGAGATCTCGCGATCGTAAGATACATGTTGGCAAACACGTGGTCGTGCGTCACGTGGGGCTCGTGAGTGAAAAATCGGACGGCGGGCGCGCGTTACCCATTTCGCTACGTTACGTTAAATTGCTCGTCGGATCGTTGGGCGAACGCGGCGAATGCTTTTCGACCGGTTACGGATGGCGCGATAAAACACGCCGGCTAACGCGAGATACGACCAATTAGCTCGTGTGCCAAGTATACGATTTAAGCGGCATGGCGGAACCCCGGAGGCATTGCCAAACGGCGATTTAAGCCGACATCTTGTGGCAAAGAGGAGGAGGACGCGTTGCTCGTGTATTATCTGTCGCGGACTATGATCCACGATATCATCAATTTACTCCCCGCATCAAAGAGTATTCCCTTAATTTTTCTTCTGGGTTTTCTATATGAAATGAAGACTACTCAAAGTCTGTAAAATGCTATGATACTTTTTGAACAAGATCTACGCGAATTCTTGCATAAACAGTTCTTTTTACAAATAGCAGATGGACCCAACATCACACACTCCGTCATTGAGAAAGATATATGATCCAAGATGTCTCCGTGCTCTTGCGCGGAAAAAGAGAAATCGCTACTCGCGGAGATACCTCTGACACGATATATCGTATATCCACTCACCTCACGCGGTCATTAACGATGTTGAAGCAACGTCCTCTTCGACTTCGTCCTGTCCTCCTCACTCTTGTTGTCATCTTCTATCTCCTCCTCTTCTATCGTAGAGGGAACCGTTTCCCCTTTCCTACATCCCTCCCAATCACGGTTGACATCCCCACCGCCGCCGAAGGAACCCCCGCGAGTTCGGAGGAGAAGGGATACAGACTGCCATGTGACCGGAACCGCACGAAACACGCAACGATATACTATCACTCGCGACGGGCCACTTTCTCGCGTCCCGAGATACTCCACCGATTTATCTCGATGCGACCGGTATCTTCTCTTTGTCATACGTCTGCTGTTGCCGCTTCTGCCTTCTACGTTTCCGGAACGACACGTGTAGCGGATTTTCTTCGCGCTTTGACCTCTGTTTCTCTCCTTCTCTCTCTCCTTCCCTCCCGCTCACCCCTTTTCCTCTCTTCCTCCTTCTCCTCTCTCTCTTTCAGCGCTTTTTTTTTATTTTGTCCCCTCTCCCACCGTTCTCGCGGCTGCTGCCGAGAAGTGTGCTTTGCCAGCGACTACTATCTGCCGCGTAGCGAGTCGACCGCGGGACTTTGGTATACTGGGAGTATGGTAAGTAGATACACCCCTGCCACCGCCGCCTCCGTCCCCTCGGGGAACCCATGCGTTCTCCCGCTCCCTCCCGCCTGGTCCCGCCGTCGGCCGCCCCCGCTGTCCCGCCGCCGCAGTTGCTACCGCGTTGTCCTCTCACCACTCCCCTATCCCACGAGCCGTGCTTTGCCGCCCCTCTCGTGCCGCCTCCACGCTTTGCTCGCGAGACCTCAGGGACGTATCAAGCATCTGTTTATCGGAATGCCGTTTTTTTATGGGCCTACTAGGCAAACCTCGACGTCTCGTAACGGCGCCCGCGCTGCATCCGCGCGAAAATGGGTCGACGTGCCTTGCATGGGGGCGCGAGGCAACGATGTCACATCGACATCGTCGGTTTGGGACACCCCAGCGCGTGATAGCTCTCAATTCGATCACCTTCGATTCGCGATAAACGTCAAGCTGCATTTCTGTTCTCACGAGATTGCGAACCGTACATTAGTCCGATCAACGGAGGAGTCACTGCTGTCGAGGAATCAATTGACACCGCCTGACCAGGTTTTGTCTGTGTCTACTTGACGTATCATCCCAATTGGGCTTGACTACTCGGATTCGAGTCACCGTGACGCGTACTAATATCGAATCTCACCGCTATATTTGCACTATACATTCTCTGCTTTCAGCTCGACGATGTTCACGGATGAAGTAAACAAACGAAACGCAAAGATACCGAGTTGCGAATTGCAGAAATAACTTCCGGAACAATGAATCCCCCCCCCCTCCCACCTCCCCCTCAATACTGCAGCTGGATTCAGGTGCCGCGAAAGAAGACGCACGGCCCTGGAAGATCGCCACTACTACCGCAGACTGGCAAACGTATAAAAGACAGCGTTTGCATGCTAACATATCTATTATAATGGCGACGTTTGTGCCTCTTCCTCGCGCACACCGACACGCACGCACCTTCGCCGTCGCGCACTCGTCCCCTCTCGCTCGCTCCTCCGGTGCATTCCGTCTCACTTCGCCGCGCGCATAAATTACCGCTTTCAAATGCAAAAGTATGAATGAGATAAAGTTTTCCCGACACTAGTCTTTCGTCCCACTGGCAATCGCTCTTACCCTCTTTCTCTCGCCTTACGTCTCCATGCCCGCTTACCTCGGAAAACTGATTATACGCGTGACTGTATTAGACAAATCGGTCGCAGCACGATCTTATCATGTGCAATTATTTACATTCTTTGTAAAATCGTGTTTCTATCGAAAATAATATTCAGTGAACCGTCAGTGGTGGCAATTTTAGATGCTCGGGTTTTTCAGGTTTTAACCGGGTATTAATTATTCTATTCTCTTCAAGTTATTTAACATATAAAAAATATCAAAGTAAGAGATCAACAACAAGTAGACAATTTATAGACAGAAATATTTGGTTTTTTTGTCATAATATGGCAAAATAAATTATGGAAATGTTTGATAAAGTATAAGCGTTTACTTTTTGTTGATCTCATCTTAATACTTTTATATGTAAATTGACAAACATATTTATGTTAAAAAAAGTATACGATTCCATTAAAGAAATTTTTTCCGGATACGCGGATATGCAGAAACACCGGTTTATACTGACAGCAGTAACTCGCACGTTGAGATCGCGCACTGTAAGAGATCGGAATTGAGAGCTCTCGCAGGCAGAGCGAGACAATAAAACACAGCTGTAAAGTTCGCGGCTGTAAAATTGTTACTTTGAAGTGTCATTAAAGTCTTATAAGGAAGTTGCAGCGGTGATTCGCGAGTTTCCAATGTCATTAAGAAATAATACGGAGGTAGAGCGTTGGCGATGTCTTTTCGAGAAATTAAAAAAAGAAACCAAGTTTTAATTTACATCACATAGTGATACATTTGCATTGCCGTTATTTTTCGCATATATCCGTATTGAGATTTTAATCCTACTACTTGACCTCAATATTCCACTTAACATCTGCCGTGATACTCTGAAGCCTATATCAGCTTTTTTATTCTATTTAAGCTTTGCCAAGAGATCCTTTGTGGAGCTCATAAGTGGTATTTTGTGCGTTTTCTGTCATTTAGAGGCGCTAAGTGGAATCCAATTAGAAATTCATCCTATAGTCCTGATCAAGTTGATCCCAATCAGTTATTTGGTTTGTATAAAGTGATATTATTGGCATCGAGTTTAATGTTAATTATTTTTATTATTAATAAGATCGTATAATTGCTAATAATGTTTATTATTAATAAGGTTTTTATTGTCACGTTACGTTACATGACTTATCAAAACCCTATCAGAACATCACCTTATACAAACCAGATTACTGATTGCGAATTCGATCAGGGCGATGGAATGAATTTTTAGTCGGGGAGACTTCAGTTTTCATGTTAAACACATACACTGATTATGCAGACGTTAGAAAGTTTAGGTTGAAAACAGGGCTAAAATTTGGAGTTGAATAATTATCTTAAAATGATTGTAAGTCAAATGCACACGTTTGTAACGAATCGTACATTACAGATGCGCTAGTCCTGATAAAAGTACAAGAAGATTTCAATTATGCGTTACTCACGCAAGCGGATGAAATCAGAAGCACGCGGTTCTAATAGGTATGCGAGCGGCGTCCCATAATCTCGCCCTCCTTCTCCGGGTATCCATTTATAGAATAATAATAATAATTCCGGAGCCAACGAGGTTCCGCTAATGTCGTCACGTTAGATAGTTACTGTCATCCGGTCCCGCAATAAAAGGGTTGACGCGTGCGCGCGCGTCATCCCTCGCGCGGAGATCACCCTTCGTCGTCGAAAATTCGTCATGAGCCGCTGGGATCGATGATGCAAAGAGTGTTGTGCAGTTCGCCGAACGGTTGTTTACGTTTGACGCGTGAACGTCCACGAGAAAACGAAATTTCAAACGTTCCCGATCGATGCACGCGTTATCGCGTTTAATTGACCCGCGCGCTTTAAGCGGAAAGTTTCGGGGTAGTAAGAGATAGCGCTTCTGTCAACGTACGTTGGTCCGTTTATGTTAATTAGGTGTGTGACGTCACGCTTGCAGCCCCAACGACGCGCAATATCAACCCCTAACTTCGTCGCAAGCAACAAAACGTGCACGCGCGATGAGCGTATCACGGTCCCGCCGTAACAGCACCCCTTCTCCCTCCTCCTCCTCTCCTCCTCCTCCATCACCACCGCCACCCCCTCGCCATCTAGTCGCCCTTTTCCCCGCTTTCCTCATATCCTTCTGTACACCCTTTGTCGACGTTAACCCAAAGTGAATGGTCCTACGCCGCCCGTTGCAGCGATGGGTTTTAACTTCGGGGTGACTTACTCCGAGCGTTATCTATTTTGACAGCGCGGCTACGCCCGCGGTCTGTCGTGGGGGTCGATGTTACAGGGGAGTCGCGGTAATTGTGTTTTAACTACGCTCTGTATCGTCCGCGATAGCCGTTGTCCGTCCTCCGAGGCATCGGGTGAGATGTTTCTCTTTGTGTTGTTAAAAAGAAATTAACGAGCGCGCGTTCCGTAAAATAATTTTTCAAGTATCCTCCTCTCTTCGAAAATCACGTGGCTTAATTACGTATTGCGATTCATTTTCGCTATAAAATAAGTAAGAGAGAGAGAGACAGAGAGAGAGAGAGAGAGAGAGAGAGAAAGAGATTATCAATTTTATTTCATTACGATACGCTGCTGTTTTTATTATCGCGGGAGAGTGCCTAACTTGTAAATTGACGATAAACAGCGTGCACGCGGTGCAGCTATATATACATATACCGTGCCGCCATTTGCGTCGATTTTGTAAAACTACGGCGCGTATAAGCTATATACACACGAAACATGGGCGGATCCTATACAATATGGCATTCAATTTGCGACGGATTCGCTGTCTGGCAACGCAAACAACCGCTATTGGGTTTCATTTAATGAACCAAGCCGGAGCCTTCGGAAGCATTTTTGCGCTGTGGGCACGGCTTAAATTGGACGTCCCCCCCTCCCTCCCCTCCCGCCTTGCCCCCTTTCCCTTTCGTCCGCTTGCCTATCTTCGCTCATTTTATATCTGCTTCCTGCGACTTACGCCTCGATGACTCGACCTGATACAGGAAGCTGCAACGTACCCATACCACCGTTCGCCCGGTTGATTCATCGATGATCGGGAGAACGTGTTTGCAGAGTTAAATTATAAGCTGCAGGAGATCGATGTGAAGGCGCAAGAAGAATACACTTTCGTCTCTTGACGTACTCCCTAAATCTCATGGAGCAAAATCTTACTAGAAACGAGTAAAGACCTACACGAAACGATAGTGAAGAGATACTGATCATTCTGCTTTCCATACGGAATTTCACTTGAAAAAAATTTAAAGAACACTTTTTAAATTTCTCGGAATACAAAGACATTAGATTCACTCTTTAATTACGAATAAAAGTATTCCACAGGGTGGAAAAATTCATGAATGAAAAGTTATTCGAAATTAAGTGACGGCTATCACTGTATCTTTCAAATGGAATTTCCCTCGAAGAAATTTAGCAAAATGCTTCGTCTTCCCCTTTTTGAAAAGACGCATCAATTTTTCTCGTGCGCGAATGAAGTTGACTGCTTTTCGGCAGATTGCCGTTTTCTTTCCTTTTTCACAACAGATCAGACACACCAAGAAAACTTAGGGTTCGTTAAAAATATTACAGCTTACAGAGCAATCCTCTTAAAAACGCTGCGTGGAAGTGCGCGGCCAGAGAACTCAGGTGCGAGAAAGAAAGAGAGAGAGAGAGAGAGAGAGAGAGAAGAGGCGAGCATCAGTAAGGGAGAGGAGCGGGAGGAAGAAGGGAGTGAAGAGCCGGAGCACCGGTATCGGCGCCGTATCGTTCCACCGCGCAAGTGTCCGGTAAGGTAAGCGGATCCACGATAATCCGGATTACGTATTTGCCCGGTTCTCTGCCTCCTGCCATCTCGATCTCACGCCAGTCGGGGCCAAAGACGTATTTGCCTCGTGGCAACGTA